AGTGGTGTGGTTTAAACAGAGTTTCAGAATAATTTGTGGCCGCAGTGACGATGGGAGTGATGGAACATAACTGATATGCAACGTCCCATCACGGCGTGTATACATAGCCTGACCGATGTGCCGAACCAATAGACTGTATACGGCTACATCAAGGTATACAGCCTTATAGTGGCAATAAAGATGACATATTGATTTTCGATTTAAAAAGAAAAAGGATTGACTTTCAAGTGCCTTCTCCGGCCTCACAAGGTATCAGTCCGTCCAGGACATCGACGACAGGAAAGTGTGTAATCGTGTGCAATGATACTTGGATCGATTCCGTCCGAGTATCATGGCTTTCCGAGTCCCAATTTCGGTAAATTTTCCGACTCAAAAGAGTTCACAAGCCACGCGGCAACACCATCGAAAATCCCGAAAAGAACAAGCGCCGCTTGCGTCCAAGTACTCTCGGTGTTCCACTTTTGACACCAAAATATTGAACATCTCCCCGGGACCGCACTGATATCGATGGTAAACACAGAGGGTGACTCGAACGTAATCCTCGGTGCAAAAGCTCGGGAATCGACTCTCTCAATAAGTTACACTTCAGTAATGTATGAACTCTCGTTTTGGGGTTTCCAGAGCTGCTCGTAATTCGGAGTATTTCAGCAATTCGATCGGCTCCCGGTTTGATGTCGATCTGATGAGCTTCTTAGAGTCGATGGAGACAGCTCTTGCCGATATTTCCCAACTTCGGAATAAATCACCCAACATCATCGTTTTTAGAAACGTAATAATCGTCACATTGACTTCGACCGCCAATTCGAGGCAAAATCATCTTCATCAAAATCCTCTTCCTCACTATCATCATCATTACTAGCAGCAGGCACCTCAGGTGTAGCAGCACCTACACGAAGTAAATAGCGCGCGCCCAAAAATAAGTCTTACTTTTCGATGGTAATTCTTCTTGTTGGATTTCCTCTTCGGAACTGCTTTCCGTATCATCAACAACCGATGATTGATCAGTGGGAGGAGGCGGTGGAAGATGTAATTCATGTCTGTCGTGGACTCTCCTTCGTTTATCACGCAGTTCAGAAAGGTGTCTTTCGCGATCTTCCTGGTCGTGGTGCAGCGAACGAACGTATCTTAAAATATATGGAATCGTAACAAGGTATTTATATCTCAAGAAAATCCGAAAACTCAGTATTTCACGTTCATTAGGTAGTGTTTCAGCGAACTTGAGAGTTCAACAAGGCTTAGATATAGTAATGAACCATCATACACTGAAGTAAAACGGTCATATGCGTGACCGTCACCCATATACTGTCCGTGTGTTTTCTTATACAAATGCATAGAAAACTAATTTCTCGGCTAATACGACGAATATTCATTCAAATTTACAACATGATAAATGTATCCATGTAACAAATATATACACTAAGAGTTTGGTTAACAATATCGAGCTCCGGGTGGCCCTATCATTAAAATAATCGTGCACAGGCATGCTAATTTCATTCCCTCCTAAGATGGCTTTTGGCAAAATGTAACTTTAAATTCCCCGCAGAAGCTTATATAGAAAAACTTTCCAAAATATATCAATGCATATTTCAAGTAGAGCAAGCAAATGCACACCAGACGTAACGTTAATCCCATCAAGACGATATGAAACGAAGAAGTTCCGCAATTATCAACCACAATGAAGTGGCCATACCCAGGTGAGTCTGACACTGTTATCACTTAATAACGTGATACTGCATCACAATTTAATAACAATGAAATCAATATGAGTAATATTGGAGTTTCGCCCTTTTTTCGCGAAGTGAAATGTGAAATGTGTTTTTCACTAGTGTTTTTCACATCACTAGGGTGAAACTCCATTCAACATCTTTGCTTAGCTGACAGGTAGAATTCACTTTATATTATAGTCTCTATCAACAATATGTATATCTATATTAATCTTAGAGTTTCACCAGTTTCACGTGAAGTGGCGCAATAATACTCTTTGTGAGAAACGCGATATGAAGTGAATTATGGAATAAGTCTATGATTAGTATTCTTCATATCACGAGTAGAATTCCATTATATAACTTGCCATGAGCGTCATGGTCTAACCCTTACCACGTCATAGCGGTATAATATAGTAAATCAGTAGTTATAGCCGGTGAGAAGGATGATGATCATGCAACAACTTACTCGTCTGTGATGATATCTGAATCCTCCTCAATTCGTGTGTTACCTTCTACCAATTGCCGTCTATCGCCAGCATCAAGTTGGAGTTCCAATCTGAGAGAATTATCAAACATTACATATTCAATGATAACAATCTCATGCTTTCTTGTGAGAATTTCACATCAACTGCTCGCGTTCGAACCGATAACGACGGGGATTTTCAACTTGAAATATTGATAACCATATCCCCTTATAGATTCCTTAAGAAAAATTACGTAAAATCTAAGACGAACATCGCGAGAATTTCCCTATGAAAGTTAATGAAGAGTGAGTATTCATGACCGCGCGCCACGAAATTATTCCCAAATTTACTTCTTCATGTCAATCTGCATATCCTTATCTCGCCTTTTACTCGGGGCCTCTGAGATGATGATTGCCAACAACTACATGCATACCTGTTACGTATATTACCACGACCAAACACCTCCGCCGCTTTATCTTCATCATCGAAGAACCCTTCTGGGAGTGCTGATGTACCCAAAGCTGATCGAGCACAACTATGGCAATTCCAAATCTATAATAATTGCGGATAATATTTCACTATTGAGATTCACCTATTTTTCGCGGAGTGAAATGTGAGATATATTTGTCACTAATGTTAATCATATCACGGTTGTAACTCCACTGTATACATTATATAAAGTGAGCTACTCAGAGAGGAATTTTATACCAGAAATTAAACATATATTTCCAATACGACACTACCGGGAGTTTGGTAGACCTCCCAGGATTGGATTTCACAAGTAAAACTCGTTTCTGGGAGGAGCGGTCTTGGAACTCAGGAAAGGTCAAATGAGAGCTCCGTGAGATGGTGATTACCGAGATGAATTATAATATGAAAATTATCACGAAAACACCGTGTTGAAATTCCCGTTAAGAATCAATTATCAAGTGAACGTGAATCATTCGAGGAAAATATGGTTTTTACCTTTCTTTTTCTTCATCGGCCTTCTCTTCCTTTTCCCCTTCGCTGGTTCTCCCGTCTCACCATTTTCATATTCATATCTGGGAAAAATAAATTTTCACATATTTAATGTTGTACAACCTCCAAAAACATACCAAACATAATTATTGGAATATTTTTATTTCATTAACCAAAAAAATCCCAAAAATTTTATCATCAACGCCTAAATATTTTTACTGGTAAAAACGTCTAGGAGGAAATGCTCATATTATCGCCGCTTTATGGGTTCGCTATTGATTCACAGCACGGTGTATGAAACCGTTGTGCAAAATCATTTTTCTGCAATTTCGAGAATTCGAGGGTCATCCACTTGATAATAAGGTGAATAGATTGACAATGTTTCCTAGCAGTTTATAAATCTGTAACCGTCATAATCTCAAAACTGAAAATTTGCATTATTTTATGACTCAAACTTTGATGATATAACAGAATGTGATAAGCCAATAATTTCGCTCTCTCATTATTACACTGTTCCCGACACCACCAACCCAGCCAGCTCTGCTGTAACATAATTCCGAATATCGTCGCTATCAAGAAGATCCTCATTTGCCGGTATAGGGCCGACAGCTTCCATCTCAGTTTCCTGAGCAGAAAAACATCTATTTTCCCGATTTTCTTACTGAGTATAAATTTATAGTTTTTTTCCCAAAAATTCATTTTTAGTATCCACTGCATTTCGTCGCTCTCAGAAGTTGCTTTTGGGTTTTGATCCAAGTTCTGGTCAAAAATTTTTGACCAGAACTTGGATCATTTCCTTTTTTTTCTGATTTTTTCGGTAAAATTTTCCGCTTATTTTCACGATATTTCCCCACATGTTTCCACAAACTTTCCAGTTTAAGTTATTCTTTTAAATCCGATCCAATAATACCTTCCGTGGCGGAGGTACGACAACATCATCCGCAGGTGGCGTTTCGGGCCTGTTTTGAATCTTCCCATCATCAACCTCAGATTCCCCCGAGCTTTCATTGTCATCATCATCACCGTACCCAGCACTCAATAACTATCAATAAAAACACAAATAATTTCATACGTTTATGAACAACTCGTCCACATACATTGGAGTTTCACAACTACCCGTTTTATGCGTAATAAGTGGCGTAATAATACTCTGTGAAAAACCCGATATTCGCGGTGATATGCAGTAGTCGTGAAATATATTTCTCACTAGTGTTTTTCATAGCAAGGGTGAAACTTATTTATATTCTCTAAAAAACACTTCGTGTAGAGTTTTTTCTGTCGTAAAAAATATAGAGAAAATCGTTGGGAAAATTTCAGGACTAACACAATTACAAAGCAATCGACTCTCCGAATTCGGGAAAATTACGGTATTATTTCTCCCATTTTATTACTCCCGATTTTTCTTCGTTCTTTCCCTCAACACCTTTATCTGCATGTTGTTCATTGTCCTCTGTCTCGGTAGCAGCAGGTTTACTTTCTTGTGATACCAATGCCTTATAAAAAAGTGCGTTAAAACGGTACGGGTAAATTATTACCAGTTGTAATCGTTGTACTAGATGCTGGTGTTGAGGTGTCTTGGAATGAATCGCCCACATACGACCGGTTTTCACTCGTTTCTTGCAAAGGACGCAAATAACCGCATCAGTGACTCCTGGAATTGGAGTACCTCGAAAAGCAGCCGTTATTCGTAAAATTATGAAAATCAAGTTATTCATAATTCTGTAAAAATTAATTATTTCGCAAAAATCACAATCGTTATGAATGACTATGGTAATATCCTTTATTGGTAGATGGGGAGTATAATTCAATTATATATACTAAATTTCCTTTCATATTAGTATTTTTGAGATGATTTCCCCCCCCCCCCCCATATACTTTCCAATACTACATATCGCAACTCCCCGTATAGTAGTAGGAGCCGACGGTCCACCTGTTCCACCAGATTCAGCAGCTGCTCTTGCTTGCCGGACTAGAGCTCTGGCGTGGGCTTGGGAAGAGGCTGATGACATGTAAATGAGCCACTACATGCAAGGGGGTGATTTGAGAGGGTATTAGTGATGGTTTCAGAAGAGTTTCTAGAGTTACGGTATGTCAATTAACACATGACTTGGTGTAAAAGAATTTCCTCATTGTTATCAACACGTGTAATCGGTCATTTGCATATTTTCCCACAAGAAGACGCGGCACTCTAATTGAACTGTAATGATAGTAGACCTACGACGCATTGAAAGGACCCTATTCGTTGCTTGACTAGCATAGGGTTGGGTCTAAGGCGAAAGAAGACTAAAACCATCATCATTAATTCGGTGATCGACATTTCAACCGCTACAACTGTTGACATAATCTCCAACATAGCAATCCAGGACCAATCTAGGATGGATTAGAATTGGCATAATATAAACATTTCAAATGCAACTAAACTGAAACCGTATTTTTCGAGTAAGGATTGCTTTTCGAATCTCATTTTTTCATATTTGGATAGCCGCAATATTTATTGATCGAATGGTGGTGATATAAATTTTCATAATGCAGAAGTTGGGAGGGTGAGCAATGGATGGCCACACTCTAGCCATCGCTCAGCTGAACGACGCAATGATGTTATTATAATACCATCATACCATAATAACATCATGGTAGCATTGTTGTATAGGTGACTGTCATCAATCGCTGACCTCAGATTAGCAAGTCTGACTGATACAGCTCAGTTGGTGATATCGAACGATCTGTCAAATCCCAACGGTGGGCCATTTGATAGGTGTACCCGAGCATGCCCAGCGGGAATAGTGATAAATCTCGACATTGACGCCACGACGAAGTCGAGCCTTCTGTCCACAATTGATGATGAGCGGTCGTGCTTTGTAATAAGTAAGACTCATGTACACTTGATGTAATAAAAAGACGAATTATAAATTAAATATACCAGACAGATGCCGAACACAGTACAACTGGTGTTCTCAATATTGAAGGCTTCCTTCATGTTGCCCAATCGACGTGTTGCACTGGGGCGCAAGGTAGTTCCGTATGCCCCGAGAAGAAGAAGCCCCGATATATTCCCTCCTCGAACACTTCCTCGAACCAATAATTCCTACGGATGACTCGCTAAGGAGAGTAATCTGTTTGTAACACCCTTATAGAATATGGGAGACTATAAGAGCTGAGCTCTTAGAGCTCATGCAATGAAACAACAATTGTGCCATTGTCCCAGTACTGACAGATTCAGTCGAGCGGGCTCGCTGACACCAAACGCGTTTAGCACACTGAGAGTAGTAGAGCATGAGCATAACGACTCCAACTAGAGGCGGCTCTCCGGCCGGCCGGACTTTATCTCGACCCTTCCCAGGTACAAACCTTATCGATAAATTCCCGGAGAAATGCCTCATGTGAGGTTTGAACCTGCGACTGGTGTGTCTGCGTGCAAACATGAAGTCCGGAGCGTTTTGTTCACTCCATCAGTGAGGGAATATATGCACATGGTCAACTACATGTGTTGCTAGCAATATGGAAACTTTGAGGAAATTATCCTTGATTTTTGTATACTTATACTCAAGATCGCCGGAATTTTTCATAATATAGTGAGGGAACTTACGAGCTCAGTTGAGGAAACCAAACATATATTCCCATACTGCACTACATAGAACGCGTTATGTAAGCAGGATAACTCCCTGTGGCCTTGATTTTATGAACTGATCCCAGTTCCATAGTAATGCCTTAGCTTCGATCGGACATCGTGTAGTAACTTGAGTCGTCTATTTCGGACTGCTCTTCTCGTCAGCTAAGCGGCGTACCTCTTGGAGTATTCGTTGAAGTCACGAAATGGCGCAGGTAGTCGCAATATCGAAACCCACACGGGGCATTTCTACATCATTTACAGGTTGGTGTTGAGTGATAGAGGCCAAGCGTTAATAAGTAAGATATCCTTCCTCGCTTGAGACTGACATACTGTCGATCTATTGTTCGAGTGTGTCTGTCTGAATTAGTATTTGCATACTTCTTATTGTTGTTCGGGCCAATCGTCTTATCATTAGCCCATCTGAGTTGGGGTCTCCCTAAAGGTTCGTTTTTGCTCGAATTTGTTGGGAAAAGTAAATCCGGAGGAAATTATTAATGCTAAAACATGCTTCAAGCCTCATATTATGTTGTTGTGTTCACTTCGCGAATTATTACCCTACAGTTCTCCATGCTTTTAAAATGGTTATCCGTCACCACCACCAAGATTGCAGTAGTGTATCACCATCAAAGCAGCAATCACATGCCAAAGTTCGCACCTTGATGGTACCATCGACATTCGTAACAACAACAGCAAGTCCTCGGAGGACGAGGAATGGCCTCGATGCTGACTTGCCATCACCGCTAGCTGCTTCGAGGAATGTTACTCCGGGATGGGGTGTGTCAGGAACTGCCGCTTCAGAGTTGACCCTTCACGATGTACTAGGTAGTAATTATTAATAAATATTAGCTATTTGGGGTGGATAGTGCTATTTGTATATAGGCGAAAAATGCAAAGTTTTTCTTTTATTCTCGTAGTAGAAGTTTCCGAGGCTACATTATGTAGATTTACGCACGACTTAGGAGGAAGGACTGTACAAAAACCAACGAAAAATTTTCTCATTGTCATCAACACATGTAGTTCGTCATGTTTTCCCCACACGAGGACGCATCGTTTTAATTGAAGTGTAGTAGTAGTCCACATTGGAAGGGTTGTGATTCTCCTCGTTTTTATGGCTATGATCTGACTAGTATTAGGGCTGGATCTCAGGTGAAATGAGGAAGATGCAAATGAACATCGCAAAGGCAACAGCAGAGGATATGATGGCACATCATCGATCTATTATTGAGGAATTCCGGAAGGCTCTTGTCGGGCATGAAATGAATCCTACAGGGAAGATATCTTCTCATGTGTCTACCGAGATAGATGCGACGAAGGATGTGCGCACGCGGAAGGTTTTTGGCGTGGGATCGGGCGATGATGGTGAAGGGAAAACTCCTGTGAACTTACCAAACCGATTGGAGGTAGTAGTAGTATACTAGTTTAAAGCGCACGATTAACTTATACGGTGGAATCGGGTATTTGAGGCAGTCTGCGATTATAGTGGCATTCGGCAATGCTGTGTAGTTTTTGGATATATTACATTTGAAGATATATTCCTAATCGTTGGTGTGAGGGAGGTGGACGCGTTGATGTAGTTGATACGGTATATCAGGTTAAAGATCCATCGGCTGTGCGTGGGAGGTCATTGCAGCAAGCTGAGCAAGGGAGAGGATCTGGGAGGGCTTCTTGGAGTAATAATAATGACGTTGCTGGGGTTCGAACCGGGGACCTTCCGGTGGTCAGTCTAATTGAAAGAAACAGTAATTGAGTTTAATAGAGTATGAAATATAATAGTGATGAGTAGAGTCTGTGGGGATGGAACCGGGGACCTTTGGGATGGCATCTCAGGTAGTGTCCTGTCTGAGGTAATTGATGAGGACAAGTTGTCGAGTCGCCGGCAGTTGAGGAGGTTATCAAGAAGAAATGGTAGGATTAATTGATAATGGCCGGGTTGCATAATTTTTTCTGCAGAAAATTGTTTGGGAATTTTCCGGAAAATCTGTTTACTCGGCTGAGATAGAGTATAAATTATCGAGGATCATCCGAGGGTTCATAAATACTCCATTTTGATTTATAATCGAGTGATTCACTCTGCCTCAGGGAACTTTTTCATTTATTTTCTATTTGAGGCCTTTCATTGTAGTTTCACCCTAGTGGTATGAAAAACGCTAGTGAAAGACATATTTCACGACTACTGCATATCACCGCGACTATCGCGTTTTACACCGAGTTTTACGTAAAACGGGTTGTGAAACAGCTGACTCGAATATTTATACCTAGAAAAAGTAGAGAAAAATAGTAAAAGTGTTCAGACTTTTGTATTACACTTTCATTATCATTTTTATGATGGACACCTCCAGCAGGTTTACGATAGTGAAAATATGCATTCCCATACTCTCCATGATTTCTAATATTGATGAGTATTTTTCCCAAATCACATCATGTACTATTTTTGAGATACTCCACGTGGCAGTATTGAGAATAAGGACTTCACCAAGGAGGAGGCCGGCCCCGACCAGTCGCCTCTGCTGAAGGGCGGGGCGTTGGACTCACTGGTGGAATATTATGCTCATGCTGGTGCTATGGAAAGTGGAAGTAATATTATTTATATATAATGAAACGGTTGATCGATTTGGGTATTGTTTTTCAGAGCCGACTATGACACCATTATCACGGGTATCGGTAACTCCACGGAAAACGAAAATGGTAGTAATAGTTTTTTGATAATTTTCTTGTAGTAGAATTCGCGGTAGTAAATTACTACGGTTTACTCGTAGTAGTAGTAGTAGTAGTAGTAGTAGTAGTAGTAGTAGTAGTAGTAGTAGTAGTAGTAGTAGTAGTAGTAGTAGTATAATTTATTACTCGTGAAATGTGTGTTATGAATGGATTCATTATAATGCGGTTGAGTGTATTGACGAATATTGAACTCGGGGGTCTATTATGACTAACACGTGCGGACTCATATTTTTTCCTCAGTGATTTTGAAAACTGTGTGGATTCTTGAAGGAACTTGTGAAGAATTCAGGTCCTTACGAAATTCGTAACGAATTCAATAATAAACAATTCTGGTTATGTCGTTATATGAATTATTTGAGAAAATGAATTCACAAGAAATCGAACCTGCGATCAGGGAGCAGAGCGAATGTGGTCCAGATCGTCATCTCGAGCTGTGCTTCATGGCAGAAGTGGTGGTATAGTGGATGGTTCCGCAGCTGCAATGTTGCAATCCAATGGAGGTAGTGTGCGCAGGTTCGATCCCGGCATGTGTCATTTTTTCTCTTTTTAGAATCTTCAGGGAGATGGATCGTCTACCCGGACCGTAAATTCCGACTGGTTTGGGATTTCGTCAGTCTCCTCTTCATCGCCTATCAATCCTTCTTGGTAATTTCGTGGCGCGTGACGGTTATCATATGCTTCCTCTCATTGGTGGTATAAAATATTTTGGTGACCATGTACTATACCACACCATTTTCAACTCTCGCATTTTTTGGACGGTTTTCGGCCAATGATATTTTTCCGGTTAAATCCTTGATAGTTACTAGACTGACGAATTAGAATAAACGAATTAACGTTTTCGAACTCTCCTGGAAAATGATTTTTGAGATTTCGAGATTAGTAAACCATCATGGGGAAGCGGATTTGATTCAAACAAATTCATTTTGGTTTTAGTTTATTACCGAATTCATTTTGTATACGGGATTTGTTATTGGAAATACCATACGCGTTGGAATATAACTTCTGCGCCTTCCCCAGCTGAGGTCAAGAGTTTCCAAAGCTAATTATACGAATCTTGGTACAAATGTAAAGGAATCCGTAAGAATTTCCGAAAATTTTCTCGAAATTTCCATATTATCATCAACATATGTAGTTGACCATTTGCATATTCTCACGCACTCGCCGTCAGATGAGTTTTTTCTCAACGACATCGACTTTTGTGCTAATGTTTTTTCACTTAACATTTTGTATTAAAATCCAAGTCGCGCACTTGAAAAAATATTACTCTATTTCCAACCCTTTGCAAGCGTCTACTGTACCACACCGTCGTAAATTCGTGTTTTAGGTACCCTATTTATTGTCATTTGATGCAGTCCTGAGTGGTTGGTTATCCGATATCGATCACTGCGTGGGGATATTCTTTTTCACGGATCTGGTTTTGAATTTCTTCACTGGTTTTTGGTATAGGGGGGTGAGTGGTGGCGATGATGAGTATCTTGCAATCTTGCATTTCCTCAACGCAGGAACTCAACCTGGAAAATAAAGCGATAATATATAATTATACTCGCACGTGGTTTATCGTGGATCTTATTTCCTCGACACCATTTTATTGGATATTCACAGGAGGTAGTATTGGAGGAATATATGTTCGCTTTCCTCAGCTGAGTTTACATAGGAGTTGGGGCAGGAGTGTACACAAACTGATAGGAAATTCCCCATAATTTCCTCATAATTTTCATATTATCGCCGACTCATGTAGTTTAGTATATGCATATTCTCCCTCATACGGGCCCTGGGAGTGCACACCGCGTGAAGTTTCTGTTTTTGAGTAGATGGTAAACTATGCGGAATTCTGGTTGGGTTTCGTACAGTCGTATGTTAATTTATATGATTTCGCTTTTGAGTAGCTGAGCTAAGGAAAGCAAATATATATTCCTCCTCCTCCTCCTCCTCTAGCACTGCTTTGTTAGATACTGGGTCGAGTGAGAGATCGTCAATGAGTATTGTGGACGCCTTCAAAGTTCTAAGTAAGAATCTTAGGTTGTAGTATGGTAAGATACAAAGCATGTCCAGAATTGGTACGTTTACTGCGTTTGGTACGTCTGCGGCAACTTCTGGGAAAAATGGAAGAACATATTGAATCGGATATTTGGTTGGTCTCCTTTACTATGCTGAAGATGTTCCTTGGGCTCATGTGCTTTTCGCATTGGATCGCCTGTTTTTGGTGGACCATTGGAGAAGCTCAAATTGAAATGGAGGATAATTGGGTTAAAGAAAACAACTTGAATGTGCAGGGTGCGTTATATGATAAGTAGGTTGGGTATTTGGGGAATAATATTCGATAGTAGTTATCGGTATTTTATATGGTATTGATATTACTAATAATAACATTATTACTGTTGGAGACTCCAACAGTAATACGAGTAATGTATGTAATAGTATATAATGTAATTATGGTAAATAAGTATATATAGCTCTAGTATGTAGTATATAATTATGTAAATGTATAGTAATATATTAACTCCTACTTGGAGTAATATATGTTGGTTTTCCTCAACGGCTGAGTTTACATACGAATTTGGGTAGGAATGTACAGAAAATAATCAGCAAAGTTTTTTCGGAATTTTCATATTGTCACCGACACGTGTAAATGAATTTTCTCCTCCTCCCAAACGGAATAAGAGTATGATAGCAATACGCGAGACTTTGTGATTTCTAACGCCTACTACGACGACACGGCTTAGTTAGATTCGCATCGATGCACATTGTTTAAATTGTCTTCTCTCATCATCATCATGCCGATGAGGATTTTCGTTAGGTACGTTCGGTCGCTATTCTATGCGGTTTCGGTGGTATCGACTATGTACGGACCGGTAGCTGCTGAAAATAATAATGAAAGAAATTTTACGATGATGTTGATGCTTGCAGCTGGGGTTATTTTTGCGGTGGTTGTTGGTAGAGAAAAATGACCGCGCGCCACGAAAATATTTGGTGAGTTTTTAGGTTCGGTGACGAATCTTGTGGTATCTTTTGGGGAATATAAAACTGAATTCCGGCAGAGGATGAAAAGAGCGATGAAATTTATGAGAGCGAATAACGTCGGACCACATTTGCAGGTAATTTTCAAGCGAAAATTTTCCCGAAAATTTTGGAAATTTCCCCGATCAGTGTGGAAATTAGATTTTTTAAAATATTTTTGAGGGGAGAATCAGTATTCGTATCAGTGGAATCAAGTTGATTCAATCAACCCCGTTTTTTGGGGGGAAATGTAAAATATTTTTTGTCTTGTATTTTTTGTATCGTGGATGGAATATTCTTGTTAGTAAATTTTCGTTGATTTTTCCGCACATTTTGAAAGTTTTTCCTTTTGTCTCAGTTGCGAGTTCGCAGATATATTGAAAATTTATTGGATAATCAATTCGAGAGTAAAGCCAAAGCCGAGTTGATGACGATGGTAATTCATGCGGCTCTTGATTGAATTGGTATTGGATTTTATAGTTGTCGGATTCGTTGAGGAATGAAATGCAGCTCACATTGATGGGCAAGTTATTACGGAGGTAGGGCCAGCGAAAGGTCCCCGGTTCGATCCCTCGCAAGGAGATTTTTTCGCAGATATAATTTTTTCGCACGAACACGTGAGGAATTACTCGCGAGGATATGCATGGCTTGCAACCATGTTTTCTGTGCTCCGGGAGATGTAATGTTCTATCAGGGAGAACCGGCGGAAGGCATGTAAAAGGTCCCGGGTACGAATCCTGGCAAGGGCATTTTTCAGGTATTTTGTTCGGAAGGGTAGAATGACGTTGGTGGCTGTGGTGACTGGTGATGACGAGCGTGGGGCGAACGAGTAATTTTGTGGCGCGCGGTCGGGGCTAGTTTCGATTGTGGTTGGAATTAAGGAGGCCTGATGACGGTGTTGGAATATATGTCTGCTCTCAGTAGCTTAGCTCAGGAGTTGCCAAAGTTTCGGTATGGAAATTAACACACGACACCGGGTAGAAGTGTACAACAACCAACAGTTATTGTCCCAAGCCGCATGAATTAGGCACGATATTGCATATAATGATAAAAAATATTATTTATGTGATTGCTGTAATAGAATTTCACCTGTTTTATCTGGAGTGGCGTGATACTCTGTGAAAACGCGATATTCGCGGTGATATGCAGTAGTCGTGTTTTTCATATCATGGGTGGGATTTCAATGTTGTATATTTTTTGTATGTTTAAAACATATGTTTCACAATTCACTTCATATTGCGAATATTGGTTTTTATACATGGAGTATTACACCACTTCATGTGAAACTCTAAATGGGTTCAGGGATACCTCCGCCTCACGTCGATCGGGTGGTAAAGTAGATGGAGAGGATGAAGGGGATGATGCGGAGGTTGTCACTGAACATGTACGCAGTTTGAAAGCGGAAGACTATGTGGGGGAGCAATATCTATTCATTGCGGTAATACGTGACCACTCGAGGGACGGTTTTTTGCTTTCTTTTTGGTGCTTTTTTGGACTTTTTTGGGTTTTTTTTATGTTTTCTTATTGAGTTATGGTGTGGAAATTGATTATTCCATGTTGATGATGGTGAATTGAAGTGGTATGTTTACGATCTATAGATTGGAATTGAATTGATGCAAAATGTGTTTTTGTCAGTATTATGGTAAGGGGAGAATCTCTAGAGGAATTTCCTTTTTTTACGGGAAAAATGCATGAAAACTAATACAATTTGAAATCAGTGGGTATTAGATTTGTGTATATTGTTGTTGAGCTAAAACCGATTCAATTTGAACTATGCGTTTGCTTTTCTCGATTTCATTTAGAGGTATTGTTGCATAATTTTCTGAGATTCAATTATCAAATTTGCATAACTGTTGAAATACTCGTGATATACGGTCCTTATTACGTAGCTAAAATATATATTCTCATTGAAAAGGGAAATAGCAGAGGCATGGGGATAAACTTGGACATGTGTAAAGAAGAGCCCCGATTTTTTCCGAAAATCGATCGCAGAAAGTTTCCATGAAGTATAACTATAAAAAGGGCCTTTTAAATATTCAAAATTTTAGCTGTTGAGAAAGTTATCGCTGCACACGAAGTTATGGTCTGTACATGGCGCGTACTGTAGTTTGATAGATTATAATGATTAGGGCGATTACGAGGAGACGGGAGTTTGCGGATCATTTACGGAGTTGGTGAAGTTGAAAAGAGATGATCTTGTGGAAAGGATATCGACGAGTCCGGAAGCGGTGACATTTTATATGGAGACCAAAGGAGTGTATTGTATAACTAAGAACGATATGGAGGTGGGCTGCTAATGGGATGGTCGTGGGTTCGATACCTGGCGGGGTTGTATTTTTTCAGAGGGTTTTTGAATTTTCAGCTGCTTTATCTCTTCGTTTCGCGAATTTATTCATCTTACATTACAGTGAATGCATTTTAAGGTTTTTCAATTACTTTTTGTCACGTTTTTTCGTGTTTTTGTCATTTGATATGTTGCATTTTTTCCTATGCATTTCTGATGATTCTTCTTTTTAATATTCAGACGTTCGTCGACCTTGTTACGGATGGTGTGGTATTACCAAGTTCAATCGACGATCTCGACACTGGGGATACGATGCTGATGTTGGCGGTCCGTTGGGGGAGGGAGATCGCTGTTGAGATTCTCACGGAAGCTGTGGAGGATAATGGCAGGGCTGTTAATATGCCTAGCATTGTGGACCATCGTAGGGATCCAAATCGATCACGTGATCGATTTGGATTGATGTAGGTACTCCGTTACATGTGGCTGTGAAGGATTTGAAGGTTGAGATTGTATCCCTGTTGTTGGAGGGTGGGGCGAATCCTTTGATATTGGATGATGCTGATCTAACTCCGATAAATTATGCTACGGCGGAATTTGATGAGAAAGGATTGAGTAGTAGGGGAAGGACGTTGTTTAGTCATCGAAGCACCCAGGTTCGATGATGGTGCTACAATTTTTATACTCGAAATTTCGAAGATGTCGTCTATTGTGTAGTATATCGCGGATAGATTATATAAATATCGGGCCCAAGGATCGGACCTGATCGGGTTCGTAATTGAATATTGAACCTGTATTAGATCGTCTTAGTGGTTTGTTATGATGAATTTCGGTCAGAGATTGGTATTCATCAGCCTGCTAGAGGGCTGCGTAGGAAGGATACAGGCAGATCGAGCGCTTTGTTGTTGGCATCAACAGCAGCAGCACAGGGACTTCATCAGGGAAGAGTCCAATCAGCAGTTATGGACTTCACTGTGGAGCCGATGACATCCGATAGTGAACGTAAGGAGGGTAGGATGGAAAATTGTGTGTGGCACTCCTAAGGTCGGGTGAGGGTATATTTGGAGTTGGGAATTAGCTGAAATTATGGTATTAATTTTGCAGCCCCTACTGAGAAGTTGAGTGAAGTATCGATGGCGGTTACGGAAATAAGGAATATTCTGGCGATCGCGCTGGCCACGTAAGAAACGTCTGAGATTGGGTTGGGTCGCTGTGTTCAATACACCTCTCCTCTGCGTTCTCCTAGGGTCCCTCTTAGGAGGAGGGGTCTATCACCCAAATCGTGATATGTGTGCAGGCGTGCTGAATAATTAACTCGTTTTTAGTATGGGAACGAAATATGATGAACTGTATGATGATACCTCCTCCTCCTCTTCCTCTTCATCATCATCATCACATTCGTCATCGTCGAGGCTCCCTGTGGGGTGGCAGGCTAATGATAATGTGGGGACAACAACAACAACACCTCGTCGAGCTAGTTTGAATAAAAAGTAATATTCAAGTGTGGGAGATATTCAATTGGCTGGGTGGTGATGGTAGGCGAGCGTCTTCGAGTTCTTCATTGGCTGAAAAAAGAAGTGTGAGTTTTGTGTATCGTAAGGTCCCTGGTTCGATCCAGGGGTGTGTCATCTTCTCTAGTCTATGATGATGGCGGCCTCGTCGTTGTCCCTTCGTACGCCGTCTGTTGTTGATCATAATTCTTCGATTGGCGCGATGAAGGCCCTACTGAAGAGCGGTGTGGATCCTACATTGATCGATTCGGCAACTAAGGAACCCATAATCATACTGGTATGTGCATGCGTGCAGACGTGGTAGACAATGCACGTGGTGGTGGTCAACTACGTGTGTCGGTGAGAATATGGAAATTGTGAGGGAATTCTTGTTGTTGGTTTCGACATTAATTGGTGTGTAAACTCTTATAATTATTGAGGAACATATATTCCTACTCCAACATTGCTGATTTAGGCGGTAGACAGTGGATGCGATGTGGGTATGGCCACGGTTCTACTGGAGGCTTCGGCGGACCCGAATGTGGTTGGTCAAAATGGTGACACGCCCTTGACGATAGCGGTGACAGCAAACGATCGAGATATGGTATGTCGTTGAGGAAATGTAAGGTAGAGCAAGATTGTAAGATTTATAGATAAAATGTTTGGTGTCACATGGTGCACAGCTGAATGTGACTGATGCGATGGGAAGGACGTTGATGGAGATGACGCAGGATTCGGCGACTCATGCTTTATTGAAGGCTATGGATCTACATTCAGCGGCTGAGTTGGGGAAAATATCTAGCGGAGCGAAGTTGTTTTTTGTTTTTGTTATTCTAGGAAGAATGATATTGAAGCGTGTAACATGGCAATTGAGAGCGGAGCGGAGTTGGATTTACCTCATCCGAGAAATGGGTTTACTCCATTGCAAACGGCGATAGAAAAAGGACATCATGACCTGGCTGTGGTTTTATTGGAGGGTAATTTCGTGGCGCGTGACGGTGATGAGTCGTGGGCGGGATGGGACTCTGCTGCATGGTTGCTTTATACGACTGAGCGCAGGGGTTTTCAGACTTGGGATACACACCACTTCGTGGAGTAGAAGTGTAGAAAAATAATAATTGTTAATCAATACGTTTGATAAATGAGCCTTTTATCTATTTCATTGAAAGCGTCGTGTAATGATTTGGTCAGGCGGAGCGAAGCCGAATTTGGCTACTCAAGGTGGTGGTGGATTGAGTGCACTTCATATCGCAACTCAAAATGGCGATAAACACTCTTGTGAACTTTTGATTGAACATAAAGCTGATCCAAACGTGAGGGCTGCCAACGGTGAAACGCCGATTTTCGGGCTTTTGAGAGTCTCAACTATTCCGGATGATATTCGAATTGAAGTCATCGATATACTTTTGGGTGCTGGAGCTGAGGTAGTGCTCCGCTCCGCTGTGAAAATGAGGATTTTTGTACATCTTTAGGTCAATGTGTTTGCTAGTAGAGGAGTGACGCCGTTTCAAAGAGCGTTGGAATCGGGATGTGGGGATGGCGTGGTATCGGTTTTGTTGGAAGGTGGAGCTGTGCCAGACGCTGTGGATCCGGATACGAGGGATTCTACTTTAATGCGGGTAAAAAATTGAAGGTGATGCGGTTGCATAAAATAATTTACACGTCTGAAGGCGATATTTTGTCACGCGCCACGAAATTGTTGAATTTAGATATGCCGTTATTCTGATGAAGAATTGGCCTTGTCGATGGCGAGGAGATGTATCGACGATTTTGGTGCGGATGTCAATTATATGAATCCGAGGACGGGCGAGACTCCTTTGCATGCTGTGGCGCTACGGACGAATGGTGGAATGGAGTTGCTGCTGTCGCTCCTGTTGGGTAATGCTGGAGGTATCCGGTTCGATCCTTGGTGACTGTATTAAGTATAGTCTACTTGATAAGACTCTATAAAATAACATTCACATGGTTAAATACGCGTGTTGATGGCAATGACAATATTTTGGTCGAAATTCATGTCGCTGCTGTACACACCTAAAGTCATTCATGGATCACTATAATACAGCTTGGGAAATTCTCAGAATTCAGTTAGAACTCCATTCGTACTGATTTCGGTGGATATTAATCTGTGTAGACTTAAAACTATGATAGACTCGGTATTTGACCCGGATTCATCGCCTTAGATCGCGGAGCTGATGCTGCTGTTACTAACAGGGTAGGAAGTACCCCAGCGGACATATTGATCGATACGCATTATTTCTCGGCGGCCAGGATGGTCCTTAGAGCGGTAGGAAGTGGATTCTTGGAATCGTACTCGGTCTGATAACGCTGGGTTGGTTAATGAATAGAAAAAAGCTGTTGCTGGGAATAGAACCGGGGATAAATAATGCTTCGCTCCGCCTTGCCGATTTGTGGATGGTAGATGAAGGAGCGGCATGGGTTTGATGCGGTTAGAAGAGTAGTGAACTCCTCGACGGGAGTAGCAGGTAAAAGTGCCGTTGCTGGGAATCGAACCGGGGATAATCATTGGGTTGTTGTCCTCTGTAGGCATGGCCCCAGCACTAAATGTGGCAGTGGGTTTACTGGATTTCGAGATGACCCACTTCCTGGTCGAAGAGTGCGATGCAGATCCCTCGATCATACGGGACAATGAGAAAATCGATGATATTTTCGTAATATTTTGGGACGGTCGAGTTGATGTAGAAGCGGAAGTTATTGATGGTATGGTATGTGAGTGTAAGATACTTTCCTGGTTGAGAGCTTACCGTAAACGGGAAGATGCTAGGTCTAGTGCCATTGCAGCAGGGAGTCCGCATATTTATGTTATCACTGAAGAGGACGAAGGGAAGATATCGGATTGGTGTTCGCTTTTATGCGTGCCGGATGATGTGATATGCGGAGGTTCGATCCCCGGTGGGGATATTTTTCGTGCATTCTCAGGAGGTATTTGGGCGAATTAGCGATGAAGTGGCGAAGCTGAATCCTGAGGGAACTGTACAGGTCGTGAAGGGAGATCCAGCATGTAAAATAACCTCACTGGGATTCGAGCCGGATACCTCCCGACTGTCAGACGATCACCTTGGCGGCGCGTGTATTTATCCTCGACATCGGGGCGATGTCGCTGAGAGGTCCTCTGCCAGATCGGGCATACTTGCCGACCCCCGTAGGCGTTATGAAGACACCTCGGAGGATGTGTCGTCGATGTCGGATGATGATGATTATGATGATGACGATGATGATGATGACGACGATGATCCAGCAGACTCTGATTAACATGCTGCATGTTTCATGCGTAACATTCTCACCATCGTATAATGGAAAAGATGCTTGCGTAAAGTGTTTGGAGAAATCGGGCGGAGCGAAGTTTTCAGGAATTTTCTCTGACGAAATGTTGAGGCTCTCGACGGCCACGAGTAAGGCGAAAGAGGATATTCTCTGCCAGAACTGTCTACAGGTCGGCATGGCTTAATCGCCGGAACTATGGTTGGTATTATTGTTCGCTCAGTATGGTCATTGGAGTTACGAGTGCAAGAATCCGCCTAAGAATGCTAGTCGGATGTCGCGGGTAAGACGGGCTTCGTGGAAAGGACGCAGGTTCGATTCTCACGGAGTGTATTTCTAGATGCAGAAAATTCGGAGTAAGAAGTATCAGCCCAAGTTTAATGAGGATCCTGGCCCGGACGTCCCTCAGTAAGTCGGACGACGACAAATAACGGGAGTAGACAATTAAATAAGGGTCGTTGAAAAGTAGTTTTCAACGAGGTTAGGCCTTAGCCGCTAGGGCATAGAGGGACGCTACGGAGAGCTCGTGTAGGCAGTGTGGATGGGACGATGATTGTTTATATAGGAACAATTTCTTATATGACAATAAGCGCTTTGGAGAGAGGAAAGCAGCCCGTGAAGGCCAGGTGGTGATTCCTAAGAAAGGTAAAAAAGGGTTGGAGATTCTGCTGAGGATGACTCAGTGATGTACTTCATTTTACAGAGACTCGAAAGGCTCGTTCGAAGCATAGGGAAATGAAGAGGAGCCGTCGACGCTCTGAATTATCATCATCATCGTCTTCATCGTCATCATCATCTTCGTCTAGTAGCAGTAGTTCAGATAGTGACAGCAGCAGCGAATCGTCATCATCATCGTCTGAGAGTCCTAGCAGGAGTCCCAGCAGGTAGTCCTAGCTCGATCGATCCCAGTGATGTTGTTATCAGGAGTCGTCGTGATAGTAGTAGAGGGAAGGGGAATATGTCTTCATCACAGCAGAAAAGGAGGAGGCCCGAGTCGCCGGTGAAGGAAAGTAAGGAGAATAATCGGATGAGACTTTTCGAAGTATAGGTTGGAAATAGGTAGATCGTCGAAATCATCAGCAGACTTGAATGCCTGGAGGAAGGCACGTGACGATGCTCAAGCTGGTCCGAGGCAACGCTATATTGAACGCCCATCGGGTCGAGGTAAGCTCACGCGGCGGCGCTGTTGTCATGCAGTGTCGGTGGATGGGGGAATAATTGGAATTCTGTTATGATACTGCCATCTTCGAATGGCACTGATTACTTGAGTCTTTAGATGGGCGTTCATATGAGAGGTCCCGGGGAGAGAGTAGCCGATCTCCTCCGAGTCCCCGACGTAGACAAAGGAAGGATGTCGTGGAGTCACCGAGACGTAGGAAGAGGAAGGATGCGGTTGAAGACAGCGGTAGGTTACTTGTCATAGGTTCACGACTCACATCTGGGGTTTTCATGGGGGTAATGATATTGTTTCATTTCATACACGATTAGTGATTCTGATTGCTATCCCGATTCATGTAAAGACGTGTAGATAGTTGATATTGTGACTGATAAGGAACTAAGGACAGATGGAACTATACAAGCTGACCTACATTATACAGGCATTATCTCGTGGTCTTCACTCATTAGATGAATCACCTCCCACGGGATCGCCTAGGAAAATCGCTAAGCGTCGAAGTTCATCACAAAGACGCGGTAGCAATATTAATTGCTGGTCGTGGTGGCATGCCTGATTTAGGCTGGTTTGAATTATCTCTCTCACCCTCACGAGGGACTCCTCTGAAACTCGACGATGAGAGAGCGTCAGCGAGTACCACTCTGTGATCATACTATCACTTTTTCTTCAGGACGTAGCCGCTCGAGAGCATATCGAATCGGGGTCGGTAGGCCCTTCGAGATCGACTTTACCGGCCGCTAGAAGGGATAGCTGATGACCTAGTTGAGTTTACGTTGGAGGTGGTTAATCGTCTTGTGTTGTTGATGAATGTGGACGGAGCGTTGTTGGGGGAATTGTACTCATTTATTCTACATGCCTACTTTTTTGGAGATTCGCTCTTTTGAAGTGGGGTAGGTCGGACAGAGGACTATAGGAAGCTTACGGTTTGCATCGCTCTACTGACTACATCTTTTTTCCTCGGTGAAGTGCAGCTGGCTACGGGTGGTAAGAAGGATGAGAGTGTTGAATTTAGGAGTCCCAAACTTAACAAATTGGGATGGATTATATTCTTATCGAATTGTATTGAATTAAACCGAACCGAAGTATGCTTGTTATGGATAGAAGTAGTAGGTTTATTTATACAACTTATTTTGCTAAAACCTTATATAAGCGTGCCCTAGTGTCAAATGACACAGCCGAAACAAAATCTTGGAGACAGATAGTTGTCATACCTAGTTTCTCGAAAACCGAATATACGTGAATATATGAGGGCGAAGTACTTCGTCTGTTTGAATCATGCCAGTTCGAAAGAGTGTCGGTTAGTCTCCTTACCACTCGTTGGTTAAATCAGTCAATCGTCCATTGTCTACCGCGTGACCGCAGGATCGATGTGAGGATCCTTCTTGCACACAGCCACGCCGAATAAGGACAGCCGAGGATTTTGCTCAAGTAGAGAGTGTTGAGGATGCATAAAACGCCCATGCTGCATGGCTCATGCATCATGAGTCCCACTTATTCGTAAGTACTCCCCCTCTAGCAGAGTGCATCTGAGACTCTATGCCGATGAGAAGCAGTCGTTTCTCGCGCAGAAATGATATGACCGATTTCAAATCAAATCGGTCCATACTTGCGCTATACTGCTATATTGACACTATCCCACCCAGTGCCACTGGGCCAGTGGTGAGGTGAATTACTTTACTTAAACGACAGCCGTATCTTCGAATCAAGTATACCGATTGAGCGCGCCGCGCAGGTTCGTCAGCCCCATGGCAATTTTCTGATGAACGGGGTTCAGCGGTACTACTCACGAGTGGCATGGATATGGTATGGGTAGAGTTGGCTCATCACTCGGCTTATGGCCAACGCAAAAAGTCCGTACGCGTACCCATGGTCCTAGGACGAATGTCGTGGTCGCAAACTGTTCTGTCTGTCAGTGAACAGTGGGAAAATCAGGAGCCTCGTCAGCGACTCTTTTACATGCAATTAATATGGAACGAAGAGTTGCGGAATGGAATAAAACAGTTTTGACAACTAAGTCGTGTGTTGACGATTGTTAACGGTGTTTGGGACCCGTCTCCCTCCTGTGACTGTTGACTCGCCTCGTGAGCAGACATTAAGTAGGAAAAGACGATTTAACCAACTCAATGAACGGATTGTACGCAACGCAACTGTGCACGCATACACATAGTAGCGTGCGATGGGCGCACAACATAGAGTTATCGGACGAATGACATGAAATAGGGAAACATTACAGCAGCAATGGAGCTCTGTCTAATCAACGGTAATCGATCAGCGATCAGCTGAAGATAACAGCAATGTTACATCTTGAACATACATATATATGCTTGCTTGCCCGCAACGTTGAGATGAACACAATCCCCTCCATAACAATCCAGACTCTGATGATATGATGATCCACTCCGATACGTCGGGAACCTAATATCTCTTACGCCGAATCTGTCGCACTTCTGGTAGCAACGCGAGAAAGGTTGGCACACTCCTATTCCGGGACAGTCGCCGTCTTTTTTGCAGCTGGTGGCACACACAGCATAAGAGACACGACCTCCATCCTGAAAAAAGTCACAGCCACTTTCTACATGAGGATCTGCTTCCTTCCCCATCGAGCAGACCATCGCAAGTTCAAAGCAATGTTATGAGCTACATATCAAAGCTGGTAGACACTATCAGGTAGAGAATCTCCGAAGTGATGCCGACGCTGAGCCTCAACAGTCGAGGTGAGGTGAATATACTCACATATGCAGCGATCGCAGTGTCAGTGTTACACTGGCAACCGTCCTTACAGTCGTTGAGTGGTTTACCGTAAACTGCACCTGAATTAGCATTCATGGAGATCCTGACGGATGAGCCGTACTACGGCTGCCGTACCCCTTTCCACTTGGCCGACTAAGCGCCTTGTGACTGGTAGAGATCCCAGCTCCAGGGAACCGTTCCTAAAATGAGCAAATCATCCTCTCTTTAGAACTCAATCGATTCCTCAAATATCCAATCCCTGATATGGATGGCGCCTGTCTGTACAGTACAGACTGTACTCACGAATAGCTTATAGGGAGCTCTCCGAGCCCGGGCTCGTAAACAGCATCACCCAGATCCATAAAGCACATAGCAGCAATGAAGACGACGATGAGGTACATATCAAAATCTGGGAAACCTCTTTTGTATTCCCCAGTCACCGAACGACTCAAGTAAAGGAGCCAAGTCGAGGAAATGTATTGTTGTAGTTTCAGTGGAACTCATCTTCAAAGCCGTTGTGGGACAAGCAGATTATTGCTATCAAACACGAATGAGTGGCTCAAGCCCCTCGCGTCACATCACGCGTGGCGGCCCACCTCGAGACGGCGCGTGGAGCATCACGTGTGTTGACATCACGGAGCACGAGTAGGGCGAGCGATAGGAACGATAGTGTATTAAATGACGAGTTATGGGAAGAGACTTTTCCGAAGAGTATAGTAGTCATCGTTCGTTGGTCACTGTTCCTCATCAGTATGTACAAGATATGTCCGGGCTCATAACTCGTGGGTATTCAACATATAAAACATCTCAGGAAAAGATTTATAAAAGAAGAAATGTATGTGTGTATTTGCTGGTGAAATCTTTCGCAAATCTGGAAATGAACAGTTGTAGATTGGAAGCGAGCGAGAGCTTCACTATTGCTATGATGGAAAAGGGGAGAAACCCGAACACCATATGCAACGGAGTAGGGTGCAGAAAAGTGAACGAGGTATTCCAGTCGACGACTGTGCACGTTCACTGGGCGTGTTCGTGGAGCACATCTCATGGTGCGTGACGCATGAGGGGGCGCAGTGGGTCTGTATAAGTCATACGACCTGTCACATCGGGCGTGACATATGTATACCGTCATCACTATAGCAAAGGCATTTTAATCATCGTATAAGAAGGACTTGATGTTGGGCACCTGCTTTACCCAAAGCCTTAATATATGCCATGCTGGCATATGCGCGCTCCAGAAGTGGGGGCCCCTAGGCGAGCGCGCCCAAACCTGTAGGCATTGTCTACTGGACAACTTACGCAGGTGCGACCTGCCTACTGTGAGAAAAACGGCAAATGGATTAGTTCAATTTACAAAAGTCGTGGAAAGTTTCCACTGGAAACTGACTAGCCGTGTACACATAGAACTCTAAGCTAACGGCTACCCTCTCGAGTATGGTTGAAACTGCAAGTCTGTGAACAGAGATTGAAATGTTCGAATTCACGTGTGTTGCTTTCGCGGTGTTACTAACCATGCAATTTCCACGCATCTGCCCTCAGCCTAGTTGCCTCCTGTACACAGTCGCGTTTGTTCGAATACGTTCGTGTGGGAGATCCTTACACTCACCCTGGTTGGCTTAGTTATTGTAAGTACTGTAGTGTATCCATTATTACGTTCCTTACAAATCATACAGTTCAAATTAACTATGAAAATCCCGATGAAAAATAGAATTTGTAAGGAACTTCCAACCACCGCTCGCCCTGCATTCGTCACATCCTATGTGATTATGGTAGACTGTGGTAGGTCATTTCAAGATTCTTCAGCGGTTGAGGTCTTAGCCTTAAACTCACACTCCTAAGTCGTTGACAATGATGGATCAATCGGTGAAAAGGTAAAATCTAAGGAAGATCTCCATTTCCAAGGGAACAATCTCGCTCGCCCATTTTTCACTTAAACGTGCTGGCAGCACGGTAGCCGCCGATTGGCCTTTCTAAGTACCCCTCGGTGTACTTATCTGTGTGATAACGTATGTAACTGAATTCCGACGCCTCGAGCTCCAGGCAGGCGAGGAGTAAGCGTCCTGAGAAAGCTTAAGAAGCGTTGCGTTAGTAGAAGGGGGTCTTCGTGATTTAGCTTGGCAGATCAAACCCGCAAGGAAGCTCGAGGTGGCTATTGGCAGCTAGGTTGCAGAACAACATTTTATCACGAGAAACTTCGTGATCACTAACAGATTTCTAAACGTACGCGGGAGTTGGGTCACCAATGAAAGATAAGCAACCCAGATCCCTTAACAGCAAGGCAGAACCCAAACCGCAAAACCAAAGAGAAAAGAAAGGATTGTAGGTGAGAGCGGGGAAAGGGAAGCCCGAAACCCCACCCGAAACCGGATAGGGCAACCCGAAACCCGAACTGTTATCCAGGGCAACCCGAAACCCGAGCTGTTATCCAAGGCAAGGCTGTTATCCAAGGCGAAGCTGCAAAACAAGGCCGGAAGGCCCCATTAGTGGAGAGGTGGCTTCCTTAGAAAAAGGCAGAAGTACCTTAGAAAAATACTGAAGTTCCTTAGAAAATGGCAGAACATTCCTTAGAAAGTGTCCGAGGGCGAGCGAGATTTTGTCCTTAGATCGTACCCTGTAGCCTTACGATTTACCTTTTAATTTGGATCAATATCCCAAACAAATCGATATGAATCTTGCAATCTTGATCAACCTTGCTACTCCTAAGCATCTTCTTGACTGTAGGTCTATGAGATTCGTAAGCCCCTCACTCTGAGTATCTTTGTATATCGCCCATTTCAATGTGTAACTGTGAAACCGTTAGATTCTCCATTACCCCACGGTTGCCATTCTTTGTGGGATTACATCTGCTATTGGACATACTGTGCTGGTCTTTAGCCAACCTCCATCTGTAATCTTCTAATATGGCTCCCACCGTTGCGTTAAATAGCAAGGATACGACACGTCCTTCAAACAACTTGAGCTGTGGAAAATTTGTGGAGGAGCACTCCAGAGTAGTACTTGAATTGAATCTGTACCCAAGGTTGGAAATGTTGATGCTAGGCTCCGCCGGAGCCGCTCCGGCCTAGCACAGATCTCTAGTGGTTTGAGTATGTAGAAAGGCATCGTAATGGAAACTCTTAGACCAGTACTTTGATCGAACGCGGTGGATCACCTTTGTTTTATCAGTTTATGTTACCTCTCATGTCCATGTCCCCATGGAGCGGAAGAAGCGAATCTCGTCTCGCCTGTTGAGTAAAGGACATTTTGTGGAAGAAGTACTAACATGTTTTCATTGATATATAGAAAGCTATCGAGCGCTGGGATATAATGATTATGCGTTCCTCAGTGTTGCCGCTAAGTAGTCCTTGAAATCGAGGTCGTTGGGGGATATTAATCGGGATACGAGAGTTGGATGAGTCGAATCTTTCAATCCAGCTGTGGTACACGGCAGAGTTCATTAACTCGATTTTGCAACAGTTCTGACGTCCTATCGGAACTCGGGGGTCTTCGAGGTCGTCGTCTCATTACTCAGTTTTCTGAGGAATACTTTTCTCGGAGTTGTGCTCATAGGAAGTTGATCACGCGGGAACATGTCCTCATAAAGTTTTACGCATCGAAGGAATACTTCCCCGCGTTTTTGGTGCTCTTAGATCGCATCTCAATTAAGTGTCCCAAATCATACTGTTGTCTGTATTTAATATTTATGGGTGTTTTACTGAGAATTTGAATGGTAATGGAGGTCATCGGAACTCATCTCGCCCTTTTCCTCAGATCTCCTTCGTTGATGCTGGTTTTGTTACTCCAAGTGGCGCCTCTATTGATTGTCCAATCTGCCGAGAAGCCTTCGGTGATGAGGATGTTGAAGGTATGGCTCCTACGGATGGCCCTCCACGATACGCCAAAATGGATTGCTGCGAACACACCTTCCATGTTGGCTGTCTCGAGGTGAGCTCGAGCCAGGATGCTGCCATTGATGGATGATACTGCAGTTTTATTGAAAGACATTTCTCTGGGAAATTTGCCTTCGGGAGAATTCTTTCCAACTTCCCTCACAAAGTTCTGATTTCGCATTTACGGTACGAAAATGATAATAATGTAATCACTAATACGATGTATCCATGAAAGGATGGGTACTCCTTTTTAGCATTGGAGTACTCAGCGGGAGAACTCTTGTCCAAGTTGCCGAGCTACCATCCATTATGTTGCTGAGTATAGCCTCCAGAAACGAGGGCCTGAGGGGTCCTCGATGAAGACGGCATGGCGGTTGATGATTGAACAGGTTATTCAAGTACAGGAGGCTAAGCAGGCTGATACATTAGATGAAGAGGATGATGATGATGATGGGTAATAGAGGGACGCTTGTGTGTTCCTATATATCACATAGTTTCTGATGATGAAGGCAGATCTTGAGGGGATTCAAATGAATTTTGATGATTACAGCCGTTGAAAGTAAATTCAAAAACATTGATATACCGGAGCTGTTACTCAGAAGATTTCATGAATTTGTGGAAGGTATGATGTATTGTGTGTCTTTCGAACTTGAGGGTTGCGTAGGATTGTCGGACATGATATCCTTTCGACCAGATTTCTCTCTTCCGAAGAGTCAGACTCTGCATCTTACCGCTGTGTGATATGCGGCGACTCCATCATCCAAGCTGCCCCGGCGGACCAGAGAGGGGTGATGCTTCTATGTGATGCCAGACTGCCTCAGAAACGAAATCGGAAAGGATCTACTTCCACTGCCAAGACCTGCGATGCTCCGTTCCATCCCTTTTGTGCGGGCTATAGTGGAGTGCCTGATGGAGAGGTGAGGAGGGTTCAAACTGAGAGACGGTATAATGAGTGGAAGTATTTTGGTGTGTTGTCGTCGGATAGGGTGTGTGTTTGGCTGTCAACCAGGAGGCTGCAAGTTCGATTCCATGTCAGGTGTTTTGTCCCCAACATAGCCACCTCCTTCCACCTGTCATTGAGGAAGAAGTCAACACTACCACGCCTGCTGGGCTGTCCACCTCCAGCTCCTCCTCAAGAAGTGAGCCTAATGAATCTTTCCAAACCGATATAAAGAAGAGGGAAGTTGTGGAACTTGGAACTAGTAGTGATGAGGACGAGAGGGAGGAGGATAATATGGCTGAGGAAGTGGCTGAGATGATGATGCCGAGGAAGAAGGTGAAGGTCGCTATCCTGCCGACGTATATAACCGTCACTGCGCCACGAAATTGGGAGGTAGCCATTGGGATTGGCGTAACGGATAGTGTTGTTGGTGGGCATGCGGGAGATGAGGGTGGATTGGTGAGAGAAGTTAAAAAAGGAGTGGTACAGGCTATGCTGGGTTGGAAGGGAATATTGACTTCGAATGGAGTGGTATGGGAATCTGCACGCGTGCCCACAAGAGGATATCTTCAGCTTTACTTTGTCAATAATACATTAGTTACCGGAAAGATGATTTGTAAAATATTGAGATCGTTAAAGGCGGCTCAAATCAGTTACGCGAAGAAGATTGAAAAACTTAGCAGAGCGGAGCAGAGCAAAGTGACCTGGTTTCTGTCCGAGCTCGATATATCTGGTACGAATCTGAACCCGATGGAAGTTGGGGAAGTATCTTCTCTGGTGTTGAAGCTTAGCCCTGACCTTTGGCCATCAGTTCATTCTGTTCCTTTACACTTCAAGGCTCTTCGGCTCGCGAGGTTATCCGCTGGTGGAAAGATGCCTGCTGCTGCTAAGTTGAAAACTGCCGGAGTTGATGTAGAGATTGGCCGTGGGGAAGTGGGTGAGGAAGGATTCCTATGGGGCGCAGTTGGTAGAAGACGAGCACGTACTGTGAGGAAGGAGAGGAGGAGGAGTAGGAGGCGTGGCCAGTCGAGGCAAACTGTGAGGTGGAAGCCCTTGAATGAGGGTAGCGACTCTGAGAGCGATGGAATTATTGATACCCTCAGAACGGCAGCTCAATTTGAGCAGTTGAAATCGGCTGAGGAAGAGAAGCCAGCGAAAGATACTGTCCCGCCGCGGTCCACCGCAGCGGAAAGATTCTCTCTGTCCCAGTTGTTGGGCGCTCAGACGGTGTACCAGAAGAATATTAGGCAACCACTGCGAGGGCTTAGCTATTTGGGTGTTCCTCCGCCCACAGAGCAGCGTCACGCGCCACAAAATTACACCGACAAACAAACCACTGTAAAGCCTACTTTGATGACGCCCCGGCCCGAATCCACTATCGATCCGATAGTATCGAGCTTTGTAGCGCATATCTGTCGGGAGAGGGAACTGATGAAATGGCCTTCCTCTCACTTTGATATTGAAGTTGAGAAGATATCCAGAATGATGATAGAGAAATATTCCTGTGTACTACCGCACGACGGGGGATGGACGAATTTGATTGACCATCGGAAGGATCGGCTGGTAGAGTGGGTCGAAGGAAAAGTGGTGGCTCGGAAAAAGGCGGCGAAACGAAGTGGAAAAGTTGGTGACAACAGCGAAGCGAAGTTTCGCAAAATTGGCTTGGGATGATGCGAGTGTCACTCACTGACTGATCAACTTGTCTAAAATTCACTGCTGTTTGTAATATTCCTTGTTTCTTGAGATCATCGCTTCACTGAATTGGTCAAGTCTATGGTGGTTGACGGGTATACACTACGTAAACTATCCAGGAGGTCAAAGGGAGTCCAATTCGATGGTCCAAACAATAGAACCAACATCAAATGTCGGTGTGTTGGAGGTACGCATGCTTTACAGGTGTCAGGGATTCACTCTGCACGTAACAGCACAAAAGGTTAGTTCCATCCGGAACCTGCGCCTATATCGTAGGCGCCAGCTGTGGATGGAACATGACGCCGTAATATCACCACATCCCCTCCCTGTGCGGCTACATCTCCAAGTATTCTGGGCATGATGACTGTCAAATTTCTCTCGAAGGAAGTATAAGGAGAAAACACCAACAGAGGGAGAACAGGATCTTTGATCGCCTTATAACAACTTAAACGGATTGACAACTACACTTTTTGCAGGTGTTGTTCTAAGCAATTATATTATGAGTAAATTTCCAGTCGGCTAAATGCCAACACTGTTGGCCCAACAGTGTACTTGAGACCCGAAACTTTTCGCGCACTTCCAGAAAGGCATGGTTCGATATTATACAAGAGCCTCGCGATTTGTCAAGGATAATCCTTCATCCCAAGTTAAATTCCGGTAACGAGACACACGTCGCTCCGCTGCCAAAAAAAGGGACAGTCGATACACAGCGCACGCGTGCAAGATTGCACCACGTATGCACGCGTTAAGGATAGCTTGCAGATCAGAGTGTCGCGTAGATAGTGCTGTCATTATGCGCTACCCATCCCTCTCACCCCGAGCACTGTGCTCGGTGTGAGAAGAGCCGACTTGCTTGTAGACCGCACTTTTCCCATCCTTGATGTAGACGTGGCATCCTAGTGGTATCACGGATACCAAGCAGCATTAATCCTGTGAGTGCAGCCTTCAAGCTCGACCCTTCATGGACAAGCCTAGCTTGTCTCCAGACCCACGTGTTTCGAGCGTGCTAATTTAACGCGCCGGGAAGCCCGATTTGCGGGATCGCTGAGATGAGCATCATCGCCGGTACGCACCCAAACTTGGTGACTTTTCACAGGCCTGGGCCAGGGAACATTAAGTAGACCATATAGTGGGATGGGGAAGACCCAAGCTCCTCTCAAGGTTGG